GTAAGCATAAAACGATAATTAATGTTTGAGATTAATTCTTAACGGTATGTTAATACTAATTATTTAACCAGAATTCGAGTAAGTCGTCATTTTGAATTTAATACTGGTCATCTCTCCAACGAATAAAATTACATTGTCAAGTGACATGGAAGCCATTAAAGTAAGTGTTATGATAATACCCATTTTTGTCAGCTCTTTTTTACAAATTGACTTTTGAACATGAAATACTTTTACAGGAAGCGCCCATCCCGGCAATGGATAGTTTGACCGCAGCCATGAAAAACAACATTGTCCCGAACCAAGAATATCTGTTACAAGGAAGTGTTCTGGACTCTGCTGTTGAGGTCCTGTTGCATAGATTGCGAGGCCTTTGCGATAATGTTGATTCTGGACCGGAGACATTCCACGACCATGAAATGTGTTTTAGCATAAGTAATATATTGTTTTCTGTCTTTTCAAGTACATACTTCATGGCTATCCCAAATTATTCTCTATATCATATTTCTTTAAGGGAGTGTAACACCACAACCGCTCACACTGAGAGTAAGGAGGGCGATTGACTATTTAGACATGCCATACCAGCTTCGTTACATAGGACAGCCTGAATTAGGTAAAATTCATGTGTATTTTACACTAAAAGATAGAGCCTTTATTTAAAAATTTCAGCTTAAGTCTTTTATATTGAGACTTTCTACCTATAGACATTTAATATTAGCCAGTTTTCAGGAGATAAATCTAGACCAACAATTCTACGAAACAGTATCGACGTAGCTACTACACCAACAATAGTAGACTTCCTCACAGAAATGGGATTTCGCATGGATTTTGAATACATTTTACGTGGCTATATGTTTCGTAAAGGCAGAATGAAGATTACAGTGTCTAAAATATTTAAAGTTAGCGATATTAAGTTTATTTTTGTACTGTATTAAGTATTACATAATATTTAATATTTTTTTACAGATGATGGTAGTGGGTAAACCTGCTCCAGAGAGTGTTGATCCAATATCACAATCATACCTAGTAGAGTTGAGTGTATTAGCACCCAGTAATCAAGATGCTATTGCTGAAGACATGCGTGTATTTGCTGAACAACTGAAGCCACTGGTGCACTTAGAAAAAGTAGATTACAAACGATTAACACAACCGCCTTTATAAAATCCTAACTTTAATATAATATAATAATAAACAAATATTTAAAGCTACCTATGATTTACTATTTTTGTAGTTTTTAAATAAATTTTTTTACTAAAACTTGTTTAGGCTAAATTATACAGTAGATTCTCAATTTATCAGTAATCACAAACTCAATTAAAATTCCATTGAAATAATTACTATTACAATAAAACTAGATGTCTCAAACTGTTAATGTTCTCCTGGAGTTTTGACATAACRAGAGTTTACTGTATTTCATATTTTATGAGGACGCTATASACATATTTGTTGTCTCCATCTTACAAGTGCGTAACATWACAAATTTACACTGAGCAAATCACGTTTTACTTCGTTAGTTTAAAAATTAGAGTAAATTGACCTATTATGAAACTTGATGTTAAGAACATTGTCTGTTGGTTTTTTTTTAAGATAGTTCAATGTTGTAACAAGTTATGCATATACAAAAAAGTGTAAATTCAAAATGCTTATAACTCACTTAAAAACTTAGTTATCGTAGAAAAACAATATACAAACAGATAATATTTTTGAAATCAAGTTTCAAAATAGGTCGTTTCACTCTTATTTTTAAACTAACTGAGCTAAACGTGATCTGCTGAGCGTAAATTTGCACTTGTAAGATGAAGACAACAAATGATGGTTGCGTAGCGTCCTCTTATGAGAACAAACATTTCAGTTAAGGTGATTAGAAGCGGTGATTTTCTGTCTTTGTGTAACACACRTGGAACATACAATACGTCTGATAAAAATAAAGTACTTCTAGTTGCTCGATTTAAAATATGTAAAGATTTTTGAATTGGTATACAAGTTTWCTTTGCATCGGTTGAAGCATATTTTTAATATATTTAATAAAAAAAATTGACAAATTTATAAAATTTAAAATATTTATTCTTATCAAAATATTGCTACAAGCGAAAAGTGCTTCGACCGATGCTAAGTAAACTTGTATACCAAATTTTAAATCGAACAACTAGGAGTACCTTAATTATTGTCATGCGTATTGTATGTCCCATGTGTGTTAGACAAAAACAGAAAATCACCGCTTGCAATCTCCTTAAGTGTTTATCTGTATACCATAAAAGGGCTACGGACATACAGACACCTTAATTTAATTTWATGTATTTCRAATTATCATACAAYTTTACAAATCATAAAATTGTGTGATATATTTTTTTGTTAATTTCAATTTGATAGCACACCTTGACAAKTTTTTGTAAAAAAACAATCCGTGACGAAATTATCTAATATTTAAAATCAAAATGTCTTGGTACTATTCAGTACACATTTTTACAATAATAGTTCATAGTATATTGTATTTTTTGGCAAAAAGATACAAGATACTATACACTATTATTGTAAAATGGATCATGATATAAGATACAATTGTATCTTTGATACKGCCCAACCTTCATTACTTYCATGGATAAGTTAATCATGTATATGACAAATAGGGAATTAACTTAGCTCAATAAAATATAATTTAATAGTTTACAAAACAAGTATTTTATTCTGATTTTTTCTAAATAATAATAATAAAAAATTAATGTATAATATGTTTATAAAACATCAGACTTTTAAAATTAAGTGTTTTATTTATAAAAGAAATGTTTGTTTCAATGACTATTAACAAATCAAATAATAATAATAAACATTAGTACAATTATCTATTTATGAAATAAAACTAATCATGACTTTAAAAAAAAAAAATTAATATTATGTATCATACATCTACCATACTAAATTACTAAGGTTTTACATTTTCTTTTCCTTTGAATGACATAGTAAAACGCTTTGAAACTGGCAAGCCCTAGAAGTAATAGTTAAGTAATACATAATGAAAATAAAACAAGTTAATATTTGACAAATACTCTGTTTAAGTTAAGAAACATAGGCCAATTTATTAGCAAAAGTGTGATAATTATACACGGCACATATAGAGATAATTGACTGAGTGGGGGTGAAAAATGGGTGTTGCATAACAGCAGCCCAACAAAAACTGATCACCGCCAACTAAATTTCTTAACTTGAACAGAGTATTGATATGAAATAAAAAATAMTTGATAAATGATACTAATACTTACACTGATTTTAGTAGTATTTAATACATTAGGTTTAGGTATCATTCCAAGTTTACTTTCAGACTAAAATCAATYATTATAATATTAAGATRAATTATGAACATTAAATTATGGTTAAAAATGAGTTCTTACTTTGGATTTGTTTAATTTAAACGATCGCAATACTTCAGTATTTCTTTCATTAGTTTTTCCAAACAAAACAATTGTAGTCTACAATTTAAATAATTTATGTTAAAATGTAATCTAAATAAAACAATAAACAAATCATAATTACATTAGTTGCATTTTTTTGAATACACTTTGTAACATTTAATGGTGTGCCTGGGCTTACAGAATTGGGTATTGATCGACGTGATAAGCTACTCCTATAGAAAATAAAAACAATTTAATTGAATACCAGCATTGATATAAGAATAATTATTGGTTATTGAAATATTAAAA